TAATGACACAACCAGATAGACAAACTGAGCTAACTCATCAATGCAATCCAGAAAACAGTTGGATTTTCCCTTCAAATTACACTGAAATTAACCAGTTCAACTACATTGAGAGTACTGGACAAATATTTGTGATATAATAACATCCCTCAATGTCTTTAACATTTAAAATATGGCAGAACTAATTAATATTCCAACATATACGAAATGGATACCTGTTGTGTAAACTCAACACCAACAAAGTGCATAACATGAATAATTTAATCCTAAATGAATAAAAAAGGTTTTTTTTCAGGTAACAGATTCCTTTGCCAAAAATATCTTGGGAATTTGAGATTTTTGTCTATGCAGTTTCAAGCATATAAATAAAAGTAATATCAAGTCCCTTCCATTTGGGTAGTAAAATTAGTAGTAATTTAGTTTTTATGCTTTTATATAGCTTCAAATATTCTACAACAAACATTACTTTTAATTGGACAAAAGATAATTTTGAGTGGTTAAAAAAGGAACAGCTTGATGGCAAGGAAAACATTCCCAGTATTTGAAACAATTTGGCAAGGGCTTGGAGGAAAAAGACAGAAATCTGACTAAATTCATGGCGCTTGTCAGATGGCAACAAATAACTGCCAATGTTCAATTGTGCTATAATTATTATACACTATATGTCATTTCTGCTGGTTATCTTTTTGTAAGACAAGTAGCAACAGAACGTTGTATTAAGATGACCCATTATTTGTTGGGCTTATGTTGAAATGAAGAAATGGAATGGGAAATCTTTTAGTAATGCCTCTGGGGTATGAGGAATGGTGGGAAAGATTTGATTATGAGTACAATTATGCAGAAATTTTTGTTTATTGTGTTCTGGGAATGCCATTAGTTTGATTGACCTTAACTGGGAATTCAGAGAGAAGATATGTTCTATTATCTATAAAAATAGGACTTGCTCAGAGGAACACCGTTTCTGGGGTCATGGTTTGGTTTCATTGATCTGCTTTCATGTTCAATTAAACACTTCAGAGGCTCCATTTACCCCTAAACAACTGATTTGTTGAGTACAAACTCATCTTAAAGTCTGATTTTAGCCAGTGCCTATATTTGATGATTATTTAATTTTATTCCTTTCAGATATATCCTATGTATCCATTTATTCTATAACTCACAGTTTTACTAATTTTGACCAGTTCTCCTAACCCCAAATCTATCCAAATCACTGGATTTTCTGCTTGAGTTTCCTGCTGTGTTCGTTTACTGACCAAGATATACAAACCACAGATTCCTCAGCTGTTTTGGAAGAAACTGTAGACGAATGTGTAAACTTGTAGCTTAGCTGGAAAGTTATGTGTAGCAGGTGATTGGAGGGATAGCTTTCACTGCTTGGACTGAAATCAGTTTTGAAGGAGTGCCTATGGAATTCTGGACTGTGTGGCTGTCGGGTGTGGGTGTGCGTGTGTAGGTGCAAGGCAGAGAGCTAGCTCTTCACATTTCAAATAGCTAAAGATATGGGTGGTAAAATGAAGCACATTTTTTGCACCTATATATTCTGAATAGGGAGAGGAGCCAAATGCAGCATTTATTTGTTAAAATTAGCTTTGGTTTATGATGTTTTAAATAAACTTTGGAGATATTCATGAAGATAAAAGATAAATTTAAAAATCCACATCAGTTCCAATAAAAGTCAACTAGAAACAGGAGGTTTTTAAGTCTGGTGGTGTTAATACAAATTGGCAGCCAAAGGAACAATATCTTAGTCAACACATTGCCTTGCCCCCTGCACACAAAAGGACTTGAACCTTTGGTGGTTATTCTTTGAGACATTTCATCAGTGACGCCACAGTGATTGCCACCTCCCTCGGACTACTTTAGGCACTGCCCAGAGGCCAGGAGTGCAGACAGCCTGAGACAGCAGGAGTTGGAGCCTCAGTTGGAGAAAGCAAGGAGAAGCCTCTAGCAGTCAAGGTATGTCCTTGACCTTCAGGTAACACAGGATTTTATGCTCAGCATAAAGTGTGTATGTCTGTGTCTACGTACATGTTGCAAATGAGAAAGGAACACTTACATTACATAATGAAATAGGTAATGATCATTTTACACAGTATTAAGATGCAAAGTAAATGTTATTGATTTCTATTTCTCATTGGTATGCATTTACACTCTTATTTCTACAATTTTTTCGTGTCATAGAAGAAAGTCTATTTCACATTTTCTCAAAGTTTGTAATGAAGAACTGATTTCCAACTGATTTATAGATTTTTGGTTTTTAGTTCATTCATTTGTCAATTTCTTTAGTTCATATGGTGAGATCTTAACTCTAGGGAAGGCTTAAAATGAAGCCAAAGCTAAATAATTGAACATTGCTGATCTGAATCTGTATAATTTGGCTCATTTTTAAAAAAAGGCTATAATTGTGTGTGAAAGTAAAGTCCACACCTTACAGTTAGCGTATATACTGATTGAATTGGGTGTTTTGGAAATTCTCACCTTTATTCTTTTTACTTTAATTCTTTAAAAATACATAAAACAACAAATACTTAAGGTTGCCATAAAGTGCAAGAATTCGTAAGAAATGTGATGGTAAGCTTGTTAATTCAAGAAGATTGAAAAAATGTGGAGTACACAAAATGTACACATTTATGCAATAATTGTAAGATTACACATGTGTATCACTCATGAAGAAACAGATTATCACTACCACCCCATAAGTCCATTCATCTCTTTATTTTGACTTCTGTCCCCAAATGTTGGGATCATTTTGTCCTTCTTTTCTTTAAAGTCTGTACTCCTAAACAATATGATTAAGTTTTTTGTTTCTAACTTTGTAGAAATGGAGTCATATTCTGTTTTTTTTGTAAATCCTTTTGTTCAACAATTATATTTGTGAGATCCACCTATTTTGTTGTGTATTCCTATACTAGTTTATGTATTTTCTTTGTTTTATAACCTTTAAATGTACACATATACCACAATTTATATCCCTTCTGCTGTTTGTAAACATAAAGTTGTTTCCAGATTGGGATTCTTTTGAGAATGTTGTTGTGCACATCCTTGTATATGTATACTGGAGGTGTGTACTTGAACATCTAGGGTAGTACTGTACTGAACTTTTTAGATATGATAAAGAGCATTTTCCTCCTTAATAAAAAATATCAAATTGTTTTCCATAGTAGGTGAAAATTCTCACTAACTTTGTTTATTCAGAACAGTTATTTGTGCAATAACTTATTCTTATAATAGTCCTATGGAGCATTCTAGTACCAAAATTCTGGTAATTAGTTCTAATCTATCATTTTTAGCTCTGTCTCTAACTTGCTACATGCTATTACACAAACAACCTCTCTCTAAAAGTCAGTTTCTCAGCTGTAATTTTGAGAAAGGTAAAAATCATAATAATACTTGGTTGAATTGTGAAGTAACCTGAACAGAACAATGAAACACCTTCTAGCAGCATTTTCCATTTTCATTCCTTTTGAATATATATTTCTTCCATGATTCTCTTTATGTGAGAGCTTAATCTAATAAGCAGATTTGGTGGGATAGTTATTTTGCTTTCCCTGAATTGGGATGTTTTTATCATTATCACAGGGATTTATAGTTTCTGCACATCTCTGCATTTCTTGAGAACTTACCAAAAAAGTAGGATCAAGGTTAATTTCATTAATAAGTTCATAAGGAAGAGTCTGTCACTGATTCTTGAATTCCCACCCTTAGCACAAAATATCCTTTATATCTAAACATTTTAATTTCACTGTAAAATTTTGTCTTAAATATCTAAATATGTGTCTCCCTAAAATTTTCTAAAATATAGAAGTTCTAAAATTTAGATTGCATAGACAAAATGCCAATTACACTGCATCACTCAAAGCAATCATTTGATTGACTGCATTGCATATGTTCTTGAAGTATGATTTCCTGCACGTACAATCTGTACACATTCTGAAGATATCATCCTTGCTCTTTGAAATGTTTATAATTTAGGCACATCCTGCACCTGACTAAAAATAGCTGGCACAGGCCTTTGTTGAGATAGAAATACCCACGAGGTTAACACTTGCTCTTTGGACTGAGTACCTGCAGTGTGAGGGACTTTTGGTTGGCCCTGGTAGGCTCTGTGCCCAATGCAATCTTGTAAGAAGCCATGCAGCTGTTGAACTACTTTTGTGCTCTCACCAGGGTAGATGAAGACCTATAGCAGTCCAAAGTCTGACGGATTATAGTGTCCAACTTATAAATGTAATTCAAAGCAAAAACAATACTAAACTACATTTTTAAATTTTGGTAACCTTACTTGCTGTTACTTTATGAGCAAGGTGAACACATGCACACATGCATAGAAGTTGGAGAGAAAATAATGTAATATTTTAGTTTTATCAAAAACCTCAGTACAATCATTACAGAAAAACATAGGACAAAAATGTTGGTTTTTATGACATCAGATAAAGAAGCTAGCCTCTGTGTTAGAGAAACACACCTAACTGTGCGTGTGTGTGTGTAATTTTTAAGAAATTGGCTCAAGTGATCATGATTCTGGCAAGTAAAAAATCTTCAGGGTCCAAAGACAGTTTGGAGGCTAACTGTTGGAGACCATGGTGTCAGCAGGCTTAGTGTCTTTTAAGGTCTTTCTCCTTTTCTTGAGAATCGCCATAATCTCCCTGTGTTTTTATGCTGTCACTCATTGGTGTGTTCTAATCTTCTCTTCTTATAAGGATGCCAGTCATGTTAGATTAGGGCCCACCTTAGGGATCTCATTTTAACTTAATTACTTCTCGAAAGACCTTATCTTAAAATATAATTACATTCCTAGATACTTTAGGACTTCCTAGATAGGTTAGGACTTCAACCTATGAATGGGGGCCACACAATCAGTCCCAATCAATCTCCTTTTTCCATACACTTGTATTTATTTTGAGGAAAGAATGAGCATTGTCTTACAAAATTGCTCATTAATCTGCCTGTATTTTCTTTTTCATTTTCTCTTAGGAGGTGAGGATAACCTGGAAGTCTTTGGTGTGCCCTCAGAAGTCTGCCTGAAGTTCTTACCCCGACACTCTGATGATGGAGCGATCTACCCGGGAGCTGTTTCTCAACTTCACTGTTGTCCTGATTACAGTTCTCCTCATCTGGCTCCTTGTGAGGTCCTATCAGTACTAGAGGCCATGCCATACTCCTGGGATTGACTGAGATGCTCTGGGGCTGTCTGCTGTATGCCCTGAGATCTCACTGCTGTGGCTGTCATGGGATGCTGTTCTTAGCATGCCCAGGCCCCTTTGACCTGCACTCACAATGCCTGATGTGCCCCAGCACTAGGATTGATTGTGTGTTCTCTAAAGATGCTGCTCTCACTGGTTGCCAAGTGTTTGCCAGTGAGTGTTAGATTTTTTTCCCCAGCCCTTACTGCAAATGTGTTAGACAAGCCACAAGGTTAAAATTAAACTGAATTCATGATGATGCAGAATTATAACAAGCCCCTGATTTGTCTCACCACACATCCCTCCAACCCACACTGTCTGTAACCAAACCCTAATTCAACTCCCCAAAGAAATGTTAGAGGAAGTCTTTGTCAGACTCTCTAGCTCTCATGTGAATAAAACTAAGTCAACCATAAAAACAGCTTTTAGAATTTATTTTAGCTTCTGTGTGTGATACAGCATTTGACCCTTGGCTGGGATTGAAGTGACAAATGCTACAATATTTCTAGCATTTGAGATAAGCCAAGTTGCTCCAACTGCTGAGGATTTGAAACCAAGTCAAGTAAGAGTGTCACATTTCAATTAATACCATTGGTTCACTGCTCCTCAAGCTTTTCCCTTAACTAGTCCCAAGGGCAAAGGGAGAATAAATTAATTCAGTAGGAGGTCTAGGTCAGAGCCTAAAGTGCCCACTATAGGCTTGAAATTTTAAGGGCCCTAATATAGTTAAAGAAAAAAGTATAGTATTGTGTTTTGAGAGGTTCCTTACAAGAGTTGGGAAACAGCAGTGCATGGTCCTCAGTGTCCCGTCCCTGATTTTGGAGTTAAATGTGGATGTGCAGTTGTTAATGATTTAGGATGCAGCACACCACTCAGAGGTATGTGACTTTCGAGCCCTTGGTTAATGTTTAGCAGGCCTTCTTCTACTTTAAGAAAACCTTACAGAATATATTGCTGTTTGTGTGTGTGTTTGAGAAGGTTCATGTGTGTTGATGTAGAAGGAATGGGTAAAAGGAGTGGCACAAGGTTCTCTTCAGACATTGGACCATCTGACCTTTCCCTGAAGGTTGAGTCCAGGGCCCACATTTACAACAGGTACCATTTATTGAGTCTACTGTTTGTGAGCCCTATATGAGCCACTTTATATATCTCATGCCATTTAGCAGGAGTGGGAACTGAGGGTCAAAGACACCCCTAACCAGATGTAGGTCATGTAGCTAGGACAACAGCAGTATTACCTTAACCATTGTTCAGGACTGCTTTATTACTGACTGATAGAAACCATTTGATTATATTTTAAGTTTTATATTCATATTTTTTAGTATTATAAAATATCTGCCTAATTAGATAAGGGTAACAATTGTAATTCTCTATGTAATTTCTCTTTGCTTTTTAATCTTTACCTCCTTTCCTTCTCTAACTTTCTGTAATTGGATCTATTGATAGGACCCATTTTCAGGCCACCTTGTAGGGCTAGTGCATTCATCAACAACTTCAATTATGAGGCTAGAGATTATTTCTAATATCTTCCACAGTCAGGAGTCCTAGTCATTTTGGCTCAATCTCAGTCTGACTCATAAGTCTCCTTTTATATGTAACCTTCCCTGGGACCTTGGGTACTCTGAATCATTGTAGTACTTTTGCTGTTCTCAATGTTAGCTCACTCAAAAATGACATGGTTACCATAAGCCAAATGCATGTTCTCCTCTAGTACCAGGACACCAATCCTAGTTGTTAGTAAGTTATAACCCATAGGTTTGAGCCTACCCTAGCTTCTTTCTCTTTAGGTCATTCATTCATTTAACAAGTACTTATTGTAAAAAATTTATGTTCTGGACATTGTATTAGACACTGGGGATAAAATGGCTAATGAAGCATAGTTGAAGCACAGAGTGCCTCTCCAACCACTGGCAGTAGTTATGCCACATAATGACAGATCTAAAAATTCTGACTGCATCTCTCTTTCAAGTTGGGCCACTTCTAAGATCCTGTGCCAGCATGCTTCACTACCTGGAAGGAAGTTCTTTCCACCAAGTTGTTTAAACCATATCTGTGTTTACACAGAGCTTTGACACGGACCTTGGACCACCTGGGACATCTTTATCAATAGCAGCCAAACTAGTTCTCCCTACTGGCCATCTTACCTATTGAGTAGCTCTCTGTTGGATGATGCTCTCTTTTTGCCATTTTTGTGTGGAGTCGTTCATAAGGGTCAGCTTTTCCCTTGCTGGGATAAACTACCTGACACTGCAATTTTAAGGAGGAGCAGTTTATTGTTGGCTCATGGTTTTAGAGGTTTCAGTCCATGGACAGCTGGCCCCAATGCAGAAATTTCCTGGCAGAAGGGTGTGGTAGAGCAGAACTGCTCACTCCATGGCAACCTAGAAGCAGTTCATTGAGGGAAGAGTGCCAGTGAGTGATACACCCTCCAAAAGCACAGACTCAGGGACCTACCTCCAACTAGGCTCCACCTTCTTACACCATATTGAGCTGTGAACATCAGTGGATTAGTCCACTGATGAATAAAGCACCCCAAGGTCCAGTCATCTCTCCTGGAGTGTCTTAATCCAGTCAAAATGATGATTAAGTTTAACTGTAGCATATTACAAAGCAAACCAACCATTTGAATTTTTTTAAAAGGATATCTTGCTGGCTTATGCTTTCCTTTCACTATTCTCTAAAACTCATACTAAATTGGACAGCCTTTGGAACATCTACTTTTTCCAACTGTTCTCTCACATTGAAAAATTACGCAAGCTTCTCATCCATTTCTGTGAGTCCCAACACTATATCTGGTCCCCAATTCCTCTCTCTGGAACTCTAGTATAGTTGTTTCCATAAATCATAAAAATGATTCAGATAATTTGTGTCCCTATCCATGACTCTTGAGAAAGAGCCCCAAAGTACTTCAACACAATCAGCTTCCAAAACTACATTTCCATCTTTGCTCCACTGGCCCAGATGAGGGTGTGTGAAATGGTCATAAAAATGATAGTATTTCCATTGTCCTCTAATCTAATTTGGGGCTCTCAAACAATGTAGAAGTCATCTCAAGGTGACAGCCATTTATTTTTATTTATTTATTTTTATTAGTACATGTTTGCAATACATAATGATTACATTTATTGTGGGGAGTTGGTACATGTGCATAATACATTTTAATTCTTTTTTTTATCCCCTACCCTTCCCCTCCCTCCTTGTTCTTTCTAACTCTTGATCCCCTTCCTTTTCGCAAAAGCTGTATTTTTATCATTTTTCTTCACTTCCTTTTTTTCCCATTCTCTTTCTCTCCCCTTCCTCTTCCTCCTTTCATCTCTTGTTCCTCCATCCTTTTGAAAAAGATCTCCCTACTTCCTATTTATCTATCTTCTATTTTGCTCTTGATTTATATTTATATATTTTTTGAGTTTCTCATGTAAGAGAAACCATGTGATATTTCAGCTTGTGTGTCTGACTTATTACACTTGGTATTATGGTCTCAAGTTGCATCCACTTACCTATGAATGCCTCAAGTTTATCTTTCTTTATGGCAAAGTAGTACTTCATTGTGTATGAATACTACATTTTTTTATCCATTCATATGTTGATGGGCATATAGGCCTTTTACAAGAGTTACCTATTATAAATTGTGTTGCTATAAACATGGGTATGTTTGTATCCATGTAATATGATGACTTTAACTCTTTCTGGAAGATACCTAGAAGAGGAATAGCCAAGTCAAAATGGAATTTCTATTTTTTTTCCTTTTAAAAAATTTTTAAAATTTTATTAGTACATGTTTACAGTTCATGAAGTTTAAAATCATCTGGGGGAGTGGTTACATGTGCATACCACAGCTTCTTTCCTTTCTTTTCAATTCCCTTCCTCTTCCCTCCTCCTCCTTTCCTCCTTCTCCAATCCTCCATCCCATTTCATTCTTTTTTATATTATTAATCTTAGCTTATACTATGCCATATGTTTACATTAATTGAGGTTATTAGGTTACTGCATGCAGCAGATCTTTATTCTACTTATTTCCCCTTCCCCTCCTCTTCACCCTTTGTGCTATTTTCCTTGGACCACTTCTCTATTGCAAAGGATCTAGCTCCTTTCCCCCTTCTATCTACCCTTATTATTCTTTGTTTGTACTTTGCCTCACTCAAATGACAAATACTATACAGTATTTAAGCTTGTGTGTCTGGTTTGTTTCACTCAACATTATATTTTCCAGGTGCATTCATTTTCCTACAAATGTCTCAAATCTGTCATTTTTAGCTTTTTGAGGAATCTCCACACTGATTTCCATAGTGGTTGTAGTAGTTTATAATCCCACAACCAATGCAGAAGAGTTCCTTTTTCCCCATATCCTTGCCAGCATTTGTTATTGCTTGATTTTTTGATGATAGCCATTCTTTCTGTAGTAAAATGGTATCTCAATGTCATTTTAATTTCCATTTCTCTAAAGGTCAGCAATGTTGTATCTATTCATTTTGGTCACCAATTTTTTTATCAAGTCTTTTATTTTGGTGGTCTAATTTTTTGAGTTCTTTATATATTCTAGAAGCTAGTCCTTTATCTGAGGAATAGCTGGCAAAAATTGATTTTTCTCATTCTATAGGTTGTCTCTTCACTCTGTGCGTTGTTTTCTTTTCTGTGCAGAAGCTTTTTAATTAAAAAAATCTCATTTGTTGATTCTATGTATTATTTCTGGTGCCTATGGATTTCTGTTTTGAAAGGCCTTGCCAATGACTATGTCTTCAAGTTTTACCCATTTTATCTTCTGGCAGAATAAGAGTTAATGTTTCAACATTTAGATCTTTGATCCATTTTTTTTTTAATTTTGGCACCAGGGATTGAACTCAGGACCTTGCTCTTGTGAGGCAGGTGGCAGAACCACTCAGCTAAATCCCTGGCCCTTTGATCCATTTTTAGTTTAGTATGTGGTGAGAAATATGGGTCTTGACTCAGTCTTCTGCATGTGGATATCCAATTTTCCCAGCATCATTTATTGAAGAGACTATCTTTCCTCAAGTGTATGTTTTTGGTTCCTTTGTTAAAGATAAAATAGCTGGATGTCCCTGCAGTTGTTTTTGCTTCCTTGATTCTGTTCCACTGATCCATAGGCCCATTTTTGTGCTGGTACCGTGCTATTTTAATCATAGTAGCTTTGTAGTATAGGCCTCAAATCTGGAATTGTGACTCTTCCTGCTTTGCTTTTGTTACCTTGGGTTGCTTTTGGTATTCTGGGTCTCTTTTGATTCCATATGAATATTAGGATTGTTTTCATTATATCTGTGAGAAATGCTGTTGATATTTTGATTGGGTTTATGTTAAATCTATATATGTTTGATTATATTGGTCCCACCTATCCAGGAATAGGACATATCTTTCCATTTTCTGATGTCCTCCTTGATTTTCTTTTTCAGAGTGATGTAATTTT